ATCCGCTACTGGAGATAGGCATATTTTTTTAAATCCCGGGGGACCTGGAGGTATGTTAAGGCTTCGAAAGGAATGGCATTCTCTGACATGCTTAAGCTAGTGGAATGGGGTTATTGCGCGGATCTGCGTCCGATTTGAACAAACTCGTTGGAGAAGGCTTCCACTTACTGAGTTTCGACCCTCGTGGTGTCAGTGGATCGATACCGAAAGCTGTTTGCTACCAAAACACTGGCGAACGGGCTACCGCGTTTGCAAGCAACCCCTGGAATCTTGAGTACCAAGCCGGTGAGATGTACACTAGGGCGGAGAATAAAGCAAAGGCCTGTCGAGATATGATGGGTGAGCACGGGGAATACATTAACACCCCCCAAACCGCATACGATATGAACTTAATTCTCGATGCGATTGGACAGAAAAATATGTACTACTGGGGACTTAGTTGTATATTCACTCCATTCAGCTAGCGAGGTGATTCACTAACGGGAGAACAGATGGAACTACACTCGGTCAGACATATGCGCAGATGTTTCCAGAGCGAATCTCTCGAATGGTACTTGATGGAGTTAGCAACTTAGATCAGTGGTATAATTCCTTCTTTCTGGAAGAGTCGTTGACCGACACAGACAAAATTTACACTGGCTTTCTCAAGGAATGTTTCGAAGCCAAAGAAGATTGTCCGCTGCAATCAATCAAGGGAGAACACTTCAAGTCGGCTGGCCAGCTCCAGTCCTATTTCGATGGCTTCTTACGGGAACTCGAAGACGAACCAATTCCCGTTTACTTAAACAGTACGGATTACGGAGCCATCACCCGTCGAACTATAGTTAGCAATGGAATACTCATGGCCCTATACAAGCCAAAGTCTTGGCCTCTACTTGCAAAGAATCTGGCTGAGCTGCTCAACGGCAACAATACACCTGCTTATAACGCATACTCTGAATCATGGCTTCTCAAGTATCTCGTGGATGACTCAACTATCTTCATTGGATTGAATGATAATCGAAAGACTGGACAAGATGCCCCAGTTCATGGTGTTAAGCCAGTCTACAACCATACTATATCCAGACCGGAGTTGTCGTTCCTGGTATCGCGTTATCAAGCATCTGATATCTACGATCGAGCATCGTGGTCGATCCCAACAACGCACAACTTTCGTCCTCAGTACTACCCCGAATATCCACGGATCAGAACAGCAGAGCCAATACTAATATTGTCGACTACGTGGGACCCTGCGTGTCCATTGGTATCTGCAAAGAAAGCCCATAATAGCTTCGAAGGAGCTCGTCTCGTGGAGCAGCTATCGTACGGCCACTGTAGCCTTAGCATGCCTTCCCTGTGTACTGTGAGCTATCTGAGGCACTATTTCAATGAAGGGATACTCCCCGAAGTCGGAGCAACGTAGGTTATCACTACCCTTTCCTAACTTGGCAATTTTGTACTAGCCGATTAACAGGTGTGGCATTGATACCGAGTATTTCCCCTCTGCCTGGGGGTCTGCGGTGTCTACAATAAGTGTGAAAGATGAGGATTTACTCAGAAGTCTTCATGCACTGGCAGCAAACGACATCTTCTCGGTTAGATACCAAATATAGGAACGAACGATAATGCCGCGGTAATGAACTTCGTCTGCCTTTTGCATTCATTGGGAGAGCAATTTCACTACATGATGCGACAAGCTTGGACTTTGTTGGCACGTGGAGTGGAACATCTTTTGGTCTATGTGACACTGAGACAGCGGCTAATCGTTGCCGGGGGGGGGCTTTGCTCTGAACGATAACACACAGCTCAGGAAACCGCCAAAATATAGTGAACCACCATATCATAATCATTTACTTCCATAACAACCGCAGTGACCATAAAAGGGCAATAGCTTATGGGGCATGGCTCTATATTTGGGGTGGGATCTAACTAATTTTTTCGAGAGATTAAAGTTCCCTATAGGTTCGTGCCACCCATGTCTTCGTGAAATTCATGAGTTCTTCCCAGTTCTTACACTGATGTGCGGTTCCGAAACCCTTTACCCCCCTGATGGTTTCATTCTTGACTTCGACGGTTAGATCTGGTTGGCACATTAAGGCCTGCCGAATGAGGTCTATACAATGCCCGAAATGACGAGGGTGGGCCATTTGGGGCATAGTATCGTCTTTGATAATCCTTTGCTCATTCATCGCGTCATATAAGATCCAATATGCCTCCCTAATTCCATTCTTTGAGCATCTATGTCAGTTACTTCGTTTTGATGCCGTATAATGGGGACATACAAGACAATGCAATTGATGGAAAACTGCGAAAACAGATTCCTCTGGCGCAATGTTAGGATGCTTGAAAAATCCACCATGGCGGGGAATAAGATTATGCCATGCTTCTGCGGCTTCCTTCGAATTTGTCGAAAATGATTCATTGCGGCTGAAGATGATCGATAGATCGTGCACTTTTGATTTGTCACCCCTGAAGTGTGGATACCATGTGTTCCGAAAACTCACAATAAAATCCCTCGTTATCGTGGACGCGGAGAGAGCTTTGACCAGCTAAGACACCAAGACTTCCTGCCGCAAAAAGCGCAGCTACCAGAGCAACTGACTGAAACAACCTACTCTTGAAAGAGTACTGGAATTGTTTCTCAGAATTCTCTGCACAAGTGACAGCAGAATAGCGGCATGTGTAGGTGCCAGACATTTGTAAATCTAATTATATAAATTTAACCTGAGAAATCTATAGAGAATCACAGGCTGGTGAGGTCTAGCACTAGTGCCACCGTTAAGAAGAGGTCCTTTTAGCGGGAAGCTGTCTGCTCATATCTTGCTGATCACATAGCAAGGAAACATTCCGCCTATCTGTATTTGACAAGACTCTCGGGTAAGGCCCACAACCCAAGTACGACAGCGCGTCTCAATCAGTCAATCCACCTGAATGGCACCGAGTACGTACACAAAATCAAGTTCCACCTTCAACCGACCTGGAAACCTCCACCACCTTATTTCAGCGACGCTTTCTGACTGCCACCGCCTCGCAGTGGTACAGTATCGAATAATATGAGCCTTGGCGCTTACTGCGACATGCATTGACTCGACTACAATGGGGCTTAAATCCCTCGAAACTGCATTCAGTGCGGAAGGTCACCCTTGGGCAATTCCAATGCAAAATTTTGTATTTGTCCTGTCGATTACGCTAATCATGTAACTCTGGTGACTGTATCGATCCTAACCCGATCGGCCTTCCTGCAAGGTGACCCAGCTGTGATCAGCGATACTGCGTCATATTGCAAGATCGCCGCTTATTTGCTTGCATACGGAGGCCGGCGATCTCGATATAAGGCGAAAATATGAAGTGCAACCTCAATTAAGGTTTAGCAGATATGGTAGTCTGGAGCGGGGTATCTCAATCTTGAGTGCGATAGAGCGCTACACTGCATTTCTCCTACGCAGCCAAGGCCTCCGAGTGCAAGGAAAAGTATCCCACATTGAAACCGCCTGATTACATGGATGATAGGTTGCCAGAGGATTTGGCTCTTTTACATGCTCGATAACGTCCAACAAACTAAGCAATGTGTGATGCAGTTCCAAAGCGGTACAGCAAAGTTGGAGCTTGTCGACGAGTTACCGAGCCCAACCTGGTACAAGAGAAAAAGCATCGTGTTCAAGACCAATGGCCTGTCATGGTCCTCGCGGCCTATGGCGTCATCATATATGTCACATAACATAAAAGAAACACGTGTTCACTCGGCTTCAATGGTAAGCTTTATGGTTGCCCACGTTACGAATTCAAGCCTAAAATAGAATCTTTCATTGGCGCACCCATTCTCTGGAAGGTAAGTAAGTATCTAGAACGGAATAAGGGGTCCGTGTTCAATCATGTAAAGAATTGGAAAAACAATAGTCGTTGAAACTAAATTGATTACATGCATGTCCTTTACAATTAGATATTCCAACAAGACTGACTCAAATTCGATGGACAGTTCCGAAATTGACTCGGTTTCGGCTGATCCAATCTTGAACGACATTATGCTATATCAACGAAGCAGAGGCTTCCTGGGGGGAGTGATAGTGCCTAAGAATATGGACTACAAGGTGGCTATGCAGTCTCATAAGAGATGTTCTATCAGTTGCACTGTTTGGCAAGCTAAACCGAACGCCATCCATGTGTATTAGGGTTCTGATTATCGAATCCACTATTTCCAGAGTGATCTTCGAAAGATCTGTCTCGATGAAACACATGATCGCGTAGCAAATAATGAGAAGCACTCAGCTCACTGCTTCCGCTATCTCTACCTGTCGGCTCTCTGGTATGCAGATGTCCAGGTTATGACAACCCGGGTGGATGAAACCTTAAACGCTTACCGGCCAGAGTTTAATGTCAATTTTATCAGGGACTGGCAGGATACTCGAATGACTGAATACCAAAATCTGCCTTGGAAAGCATCGGTCCATTGCTCTGGACAACATGGTGAATTAAGACACAACCAGCACTCTTCATCCCATTTTGGAGGGTCTATTTAGCCCATGAATTTATTGGAGGTCGTTGCGCTCATAATGTGGATCAGAAGAATCATCAAGACTCCATGCAACAAGAAAATTTATGTTAGACTACATACGAAGAGAATTGAATTGGATTGAATGTAGAATGATGACAATTGATGTCTCGTTCAGGCTATAAAAGTCCATCTGGTCATAGCCCATAAGTCTCTGCTGACTGTTACTCTGACCTAGATCCCGTTGATTGTAAGAAGGTCTATTCCGTAACCGTGCACAGACTGGTCTGCTAGTTATGCTCACTATGCCCAGGTTCGAATAGAATTGTGTCCCTGATGCTTTGAATAGCCACATGACCTTTCATCCAAGTCCTGATTTTTCCCCAGTCACGGCACCTCCTAAACACAGAAAAATCCGTGCGAAGCGCATCAGACGCATGGCCTGGAGCAGGATCCATGATAAAGTACGGCGTTACGTCAGCTTGGCACATCATGTCCAAACGAATAACTTCAATGCAGTGATCTATGTCTGTTAGACTCTTGGCCATATTTTGTGGTTGTAGAACACCGAGATGGCGGCAAAATGGCTCTTACCAAGGTGGTTGCGGCGAACTTCATTGGTGACACGGAGAATCTCGGGCAATCGATCGGCTTTCCTGTAAACATCCTCAAACGTCGCTTGACGAAGAATGTTCTGTGCTATTTACGTAAGTCATGAATTCAGCAATATGATCGTTTGATGCTTCGGATTTCTCGTACAAGGCAGTGCAACTGATGGCTACCCCAAGATTGGGCTGCGATTCCTCCACCATATATAGGATCTGTGTGATGCCACGGCCGGGAGATGGATTTGTTCAGGAGGTGAATCTTATCAGAGGCAACATTGAACGCGTTTCCATCTGCAATTTCCTCCCAGCGGGCGTCAAGCTCAGGCGTCGGCGTCCCGCGGAAAGGCGATGGCTGCATGAATTCACCCTTTATAGTCTCATCATGATATTCGACGGCTTCCAAGGCAGGTGCTGTAAAGGCGTTACCAGATTGTTAGCGTTTAAAATGTAGTTTCAGGGTGCTCCTTTTCCCAACCCAACTCATGAACATGCTAACCTACAGTACGGAAACATCTTCCGGGTACATGCAGCTTCTGTTGGCTCATCATAACAGCCTGATATGAAAAATGCAAAGGAGCACACCAACATCACCGACTGGAGAGTCCAGCTCCACGACACGCGAAGTGTATGGCCCTTGTCTGTGAGGATCGGTGTTGAACCTAAGGAATTGCTGATGACATCGCTTTGTAGAAGCTCTTCCTCCGCCTCTTCCAGCTTGGGGGCCTCAGGCCTGCGCCACCAATACCACATTCTGAATACACTAGAAGTAGTTACAGACATGGATTTCACACGATGAGTGCCGAGGAGAATCTTGCACTTAATGTATTTGCCTATTGCTTCTTGAGATCAATGATATCATGTAGAAGCCAGCTTGAGGTGGCTTATCCAAGGCGCTACTATAACTGCCGGTTCCTTCCCCATGGGGCTCAGGGTAATACAGCGCCAAGCTGCCCGGAATGGTATTCTATGCTGCAAAACAATTTCGGACAGTCAAATTGCCTTGACAATGCCATGCTCCAGCTTGGCTCTACGTGGCCTAGCCAACCTCTGTGATCGGCGACACAGTAACTGTAAGCTTGCATTAAGGGGTGACATAGCACATAATCATAGAAGGTCACATGGAAGGCCCTGTGTGTTCAAGCAGATCCGATAAGCTCCATTCTTGGCGTCCGGAATCTAAGGAATTGAATGCTAGAAGCCTGGAGTAACTGGATAGTTCCTCTGAAATGCAGATTGTATTGATAGATGCCCATTGTAGCTTATACTCTTGATTACTCAACAACAGATGTATCCCCCTCAACAACCTTGACGGGAGGCTCAGACTCGTCCTGGTCATCCCCATACCAAGTCCAGATGAAAGAGCCGATAGGCTTGCGAGTCTATGCGTATATGTCGGCGATTAATCTCGATGCCAAAAGAGGGACACCGTACCTTGAGATCAGTGGACCTCTTCATTGACATGATCTCCGGTGTGGGGCCGACGGAAGACTGAGTCTCCTCCTGGTCGTCACCGTACCAGGTCCATATGAATGAGCCAACTGGGGCACGACCTTTGACAGGAGTGGATGGCATGGGAGCGGCTACAACTGACGTGGTCAAACTCACCGCCGCCATAACGTAAATTGAGATCTTCATGCTTGCTAGACCATATCGTTTAGTGAAGAAAGCCATATAATAATTGATATGAAATAGAATTACAAACAATTGACAGCAGTAACGCGTAAATGTTGTAAGCTTTTCGCTCTGGAGGGCTCTGCGAAATGTCGAGAGATTAGGAGTCGGCATCCATACGGAGAAGACCAATTTTAAATGTTAAGCTATTCATTCTTGTCAAACGCAAAATCACCTGCAGATATCTCAATCTAATTCAGGGCATAAAGGGGGGGAAGCCGGCGTAGAAGGTATTAGGTGTCAGCTGGATACTGCATTCCCTCGTTGCAATCCATTATTAATGATTACTGTAAGATGCGTATAATGAGAAAAGCAAACACAACGGTGCACAGAAAGCATGCGCTGGCCCAAGATATGTTACATGGGAGGAATAACCTGGGGCCTTAATGGAACATTATTACTGATGCTCATTTTCTCGCTGACCTCGCCAAATTCTCCCTTACTTTCTCTCCATTTTCCTCTACCAACTTCACAGCACTTTTCGCTCCGTTCATTAATATTTTCTCACGATACCTATGTTCCTTGAAGCAGAAGGCCGCACCATTGATACAATGGCTCTTCAACTCAGCGACTGCGGTTACGAGAAGAAAGTTGATTGGGAAGACAGCTTGCTCAATGACGAACGAGATGCATTCCTTGTGGATGAATTACATAATCTACTCTCTTCTACCCCGCGAATAATGGTCAAGCTTTCGATTATGTTACTTGCCCTGTCCGGTCTTTTGAATATCTTGCTGTTGATCTTCATCGGCCAACAATACTCACAGCGGGGGGCATCAAACCCTATTTTTCCCCATTCAATCTATTGTAGGTATTCTATCTTCCATATTGCACTGGGATATCAACACCAAAATTTTGATCTGCGCTTGAGAGCTCTGGGCGTCGTAAATAGATTCCTAATTGACCTTTGGATACCCTAGCGCCCATTCAAGAGGCACTCCGTTACAAGGAGGTCCTTTTCTCCAGCGGCTTCGGTAACGAACGAACAAAATATATGGGCAACTCTACGGCCGCAGACAAAGCCTGGTACGAACTCTACCCTAGAACGGTACTGCGTATCCCAAAAGCCTCGGCAGACCAGCTGGTAAATAAGACGATCCCCATTGCAGGTAGCGAGGACCAATTCCCCGTTCTCATCAGCGTTTTCCATGAGCTTCATTGTCTAGATTCCATCCGCCATCTCTATTATGGTCACGTTGAGAGGTTCAGTGAGGACCCAGTGATCAACAAAGCAATCCTCGCGCCCGGTCATATTGACCATTGTTTTGACTCACTGCGACAGACCATTATGTGCAATGCTGACATCTCGCCCATCCCTTATCAATGGGTGGAGTCTAGGGGGAAGGCCTTGGGTTCTCTGGGTGTACTGCACACCTGTAGAGGTACTACCAAGCTCTCTCGATCCGTCATAATATGCAACGCTAACCATGTGCTAGATTATGATGCACTTTTAGAGTGGGCAATGCAACCAGAACATGATATTGGTGACTGGGATGAGACCGTTAAGCCCAGTACCATTCCTTGAACCCTGCCACGAGCGATCGAATGACCCATTTGGTGTGCGGGGGGTGACGAAAGGCTACATCTCTGGAAGCACTCTTGGACTCTATTCTTATCCGTAGTGTAAATGATGCCCAACATGAAACAAAGTTCATAAATAGTAACTCAGCGCATGTATGATTTACTTGTGTTGGTATGTGCAAAAAGGGCATATGCTATCGAGTTGTCCGGTTGCTTCCCGCCAGACCTTTCAAATGCTAGACCTTCGGGTAAAAGTCTTCTTGAATCCAATGGTTTAATCTGAAAAGTCAGGACAAACTTAACGTAGGCAGATGCTCGGTCCACATAAGTGACAGTCATTTGCACACAATCTATATCGTTGCACCATGAGTATGCTCTTCGTAACACTGAGTTTAATTGTGGTTACTATTGTAGTAAGGGTGGGAGATACAAATGATATCAATGGAACATTACCAAACAGTTTCTGTGGAGGATGACACGTTTGCATAGAGGCTGCAGGATGAAAAAAAGCGCCGAATACATTGGTTATACCCACTTGCTGCGAGTAGCGTAATGCTTCTTGGCGTGGCGACCAAGTGCCATGTTGGCAATCCTTGTCCTGTTATCCGGTTCCCTTCCCCCCATTCCCAGCTCTCGGCTGTTCTGCAGAGCCCATCTTTCTAAATCTCGAAGTCTTGAGAGATTGGTATTACGTCCACTGCTTTAAGTCGGTTGTTTCGTCTTCTGATCAATCTTCTTCTGCCTCGCTTGGATTGCACATTTCAGACGAGATATTCAGAATGTGGCATTTTTTTGCCCATCCGCCAGAACATCCCAAGGATGACTCTCAGGAGCCCCTTTGCGAACAGGGTCATGCTTCTGAACAAATGAACCGCAATCTACGTCAAAACCTTACTGCCTCATACTCCCGGCCAATTTGCAGGGTAGCTGGTGCTCTATTTGCTTTAATCACTCTTATGATTATCGGATACCGGCTTTTTGAAAGCAAGGACGGGACGGTATACAGCTGCGGGACGACACCAGAAGAAGCAGTAGAAAGGGACTGCCAATTTGACATGCTGTCTTTCGCGTGGGTGCCTAAGCCCTGTTTCGACGCCGATTTGAGCAGCACCTATAATGTCTATGAGGCTTTTGAATTCTTCTACCACCGAGAGAAATCTGACAAGATTCCCGTGGAGGAGTTGAGAAAGGGCATTAACAAGCAGGTATATACATCCGGACGATATCATCGAACACATTGCACATATGCTTGGAAGATATTGCAACGGGCGGTGTTACAGGGATATCATCTTAGCGACAACAAGACTTTGAGCCCAGAGCATTACGACCATTGCTCGTACTACTTGGTCGACGTCGACCATAGCTACCGGGCGCGGTTTACAATGGAATACCTGCATTGCCAAGCAATACCGAGCCAGCGTGGATTGCCATTCTGGTGAGTTATTCTGGTAGTACTGGGAGTAGTGGGAGTAGTGGGTGAAAGGCATGTGGCTCGAACAATGTCTTACAGTAAGCCTACACATAGGCTTAACTTCTAACTAACAAGAAATTGTTGCGAATGTCTCGTTTGCCACATGTTACCTATCCTAGTACAAGAAATCAAATCATAAGCTTCCCATGCTATATGAAAATACTGAGCTCTTCATATTTCGCAAATTGATTTGTGCACGCAGACCATAGCCATTGTGGTAAAATCATGACTCACTTTGATTATTTCCACTGTTCTTCCAAGTCCTAATTTGTTGATTTGTTGACTAGCAAGGAAACAGACACTGATTACGGCTTCTGCATATTCTGTGTGCAAGCTTAGGCTCGTGATCTCACTTCCCTCCTACAATGTAGCATCGCAAATATCTCACCCGGGGGGCGGGGTCGCTCCTCGGCCATTTCCCTTTCCCTCAATACAACTCCCCCCAGGGTCTCTGAGTCGCTTTCGGATTTTTGGATCCATTGTCTAGTCTATCCATATTTCATCACCTCCGTTGGCTACTGGTCTTTCTAGAGATTACTTGGTTATGGCTGTTACAGGTTGTTCTAGCTTACAATTACCTCATTACGCCTTAGAAGAGGAAAGTCAGAGTGGAAAGGCATCCCCCCTTCGCATAGTATTTCCTTCTTTGATCACGATACTTCTGACTCTTCAAGCTATCCTCATTATGTTTCTCTGGTCCATGCTTTCAGCTTGTACAAGCGAGCCCCTCTTAGAGGGTCTCAATCTGATTGAAAAGAGATGGAAACGGGACACTTCATATATGTCCTTGGATCCTAGATACGACTCTTTATGGAACGAGACAGGGCAATCAGCGCTAATATTTGATGATCAAGGAAGTGTCGTCCAAATAACGATGTCAGCTCAAGATGTTGATGATTACCAAAAGGGATTAGTACTGACCTCTCTTCAGGTTCCATCAGCTCCATTGCCTCGCATCATTACGGAAGGCTTTGCAAGAAGCTAGCAATGGACAGGACATTGGTATAGACCATACAGCCAACACACACTGGCCGCATTGTATGCATTTTTTGAGAGAAGTATCTCTATGCCTCCTTACATTTAAGTGCAAACATCTGACACCTAGTAGGCTGTTATTTGCAGTGCAGATGGGACGCTTGAGCGTCCCGGTTACTACCCCAATGGTACCGGGCAGACATTTATCAATGGGTATGGAGATATACGTTATTGTCGGTCATCGGAAGAACTCTACAGATTAAGGGAGACCAATCGCCTGTACACAAGTAGTGGGGTTCTAGCTTCCTACACCTAGTCAGTGTATGGGATTTTCAGAGTCGGATGTTTATATAACAATGGAAGCTCGGTCGAGAAGATGTCGGTATCATTACTGACCTACGTTTTCTACCAAGCATGAGATCTTGTCACATACATCAATCCGGATGGATTATAATCTCCATGAATCGTGATGAATGTAGCAATACGGTATAAGTGTTGAAAGAAAGAGCGAATACAAACTTTGTCATTAACTATACATACAGCTTTCCGTGAGAAAGGCCAGGCAGTGGATGATGTGCATTATGTGCGCCTCCAAGTCAGAAAAGAATGCAACCCAGGATATAGCTATGACACTGTCAGATGCTTTAGCTGCAATTGTGCTGACTGTCGAATGTAGGCTTTCCATGCAACCACCAATAAAGAACTTGAAGTATCGCGAGCCTTGGAGAGGCAATATTCTACCTATGCTGATTATTTCCCACCTACTCGGGGATCTACAGTGTCTACTCTGAACGTGGAAGAGGATTTGCTCGGTAGTCTTCATGAATTAGCGACTAAATGTGTCTTCTTATAAAAGACCAAGTGTAAGGGCGAAACACAATCCCAAGGCCGAAGGCATTTGTTGCTTTGCTCTGTGTCAGCTGTAGTTCTTAACACTCAGTGAGAGAGACCTCTCAACACATGGTGTGGCGGTTTGGCTCATCTGGTGGACAGAACTTATCAGTGATTCTCACAGTTATATTGAGAATATCATTGAGCTCATTTCTTCTTACTGAGTCAAAATTGTATATGATGCAAGATGAAAACCGGTCTATGCATTTAAGTAATATTATACACGGTAAATTTGTGTTTGAGGAAAAGCTAGGATCAGCTTGGATATGCGCTATGTGGTCTCTGATCTCAACCTAGGAATGATTTCAACCCAGGGGTATGGCTGGTGTCTCAAAGGGTTGCACCTACAGCAAGTTGTGCTGGCTGTCAAACGTAAGCTTTTCATGCAGCCAAGACTGAAGACCTCGGAGTACCGGGAGCTTTCGAGCGGCAATTCTCCCTTCAGTATCCGTTGGAGTCCTCGTGTCCGCCTGCTTGGGCTATGCCGTGATCATTGCCATTCCCTTCTCCCATAGGGCGCTTCTTTCACCCTGCCATATGCAGGAAAGTAGGCAGTTTGCCTGAGCGAATGGCCTTGGGTGGCTCGTGAATACACCACCAAAAGCCACAGGCTGTATATGAAGATATGCAGCCATCGACTCATCTTAGTCGCTCCATCAGCCAAACACCGATCATTCAGAAGCAGTCTTCCCGGCACTCTCCTCAGCTAACTGCTTCAACGACCTCTTCTCCTTCTCAATACCATTCCGTCTCTGAGCAACATCACAGAGTTCAACATTCCCACACTCACACTCCCCATTCCGAAGCCATCGATACGTAAGACTCCACCTATCCTCCCTCAGCCTCACCGAGCCATCGGGTAAGGTATCCGTCTTCCGCTTCTTGATCCCATGCGTCCAATGAAGCCTCGCATCCCCCACCATCGCCATCATCGTCCGCGGGGTCAAATCCACATCAATACGCTCCTCCGTCTTGCCCTTCCGGAACTGCATCAAGACCGGCGCACCCAGCGACAGCGCATACAGCTGATCCCACGCCAGGTGCGCATCTACATGAGGTGGGATGCCACTTCCCGGAGGATAATACTGTAGACAGACCTGGTCTGGGGGACGGGACTCCGTCGTGGGAAGCAGAGGCTTCAACCAGTCTGGAAACTCCTTATAGGGTATCTCGGGGTCTACTCCGAAAGTCTTGTAATCGAATGTGTAGCCGTAGTGGAGAGATGTGCGCCCGCTGCGGTCGGGCCACTTTAGTTCATGCCGGAAGATGGAGATTAGTTGCTGCTCGTGTTCGGGCGTGATAAAGTCTTCTTGCCAGAAGATTCCACGAGGGGTGATGGGCAGCTCTTTCATGCCCATTCTATGCTGTTTGGTCTGCTGGGGTGTATGCTGGTTCTAGATGGTTTACACTCTATCGGACAATTTTCATTTGGGTAGATTTTTCCCGGCCATGCCCCGCGGGGTGGAACTAACCGCTTATGGTAGTTGGGGATGGCGGGGCCAATCAAAGTATAGCTATTAGACCCAGTAGTAAGTAGTAAGTAGATATTGAATAACCTATGCTGTTGTCAATTGTTTCAGCGTTCATTCCAGGGTGAATGAGATATAGTAGGCCAGATGCACTTTGTAGATGCTCTGTACAAGATTCGTAAAACTGTATGTTGGCTTACTTAAGAAATCAGCCCTGGTTAAAGATAGTAAAGCGAGTCATGGTAGAATTCCTAGTCAACTACTAGTAACTAGTATACGGTTGTACGTACCTATTATGAGCATGTACGTACTAAGATTATTTAGTATTCTAAGTTACTTTGATACTTCCAGACTGCTGGTTATGCCATGTCATTGACTTAGAGCTATCTTGCATGGATTCAACTGGAATTGGATCCAATCACCTCCCTAAACGCACTTGCCACATACTCAACATTCCCCTCATTCAGACCACAGATGCTCACTCTTCCCGATGGCAAGAGATAGATATGAAATTCCTCTCGCAAGCGAGTAACTTGTTCCTGACTCAGCGCCGTGTAGCTAAACATACCAATCTGGCTCTCCAAAACCGACCAATCCCCCGGCGTCCCCTTGCTTTCCAGCCTCCTGCGAAGCTCACGCCGCATGCTCTTGATTCTCGAACTCATTGTATCCAAGTCCCTTAGCCACTGCCCTCTTAACTCTTCATTTCTTAGGACAGTTTCGACAATACTCGCCCCATAGCGAGGCGGATTTGAGTACTCCGCACGAGCGAGACCAAGCAGTTCCGACCGGGCACCCTGGGCGGCGAGGTGCCGTGGCACGACGAGATGGAGGGCACCTACACGCTCGCCGTAGAGTCCAAAATTCTTAGAAAAAGACTGTGCCACACAGAGGCCTGGATGATCAGGTTCCCCATTCAAAATCAGTTGCTCCACGAAATACCGAATAGACCAGGCATCACCGTTGATATCGCCTGTAGCAAAGCCCTGATAAGCGCTGTCAAAGAGAACGTATAACTTCTTGCGTTTCATCACTTCCACAACTCGTGCCCATTGCTCGTGAGTGAGGTCCACACCTGTCGGGTTGTGCGCACAGGCTTGCAGAACCACGACATCTCTTTCTTCGGCGGTAGTCTCGAACACTGATAGCATTCCTTCTAGGTCAACGCCTCTTGTTTCTGCAGAGTAGTATGGGTACTCTTCGATGTGGACCCCAACACCAGCCCAAATAGTCTGGTGGTTGATCCATGTTGGCGAGGGGATGTACACCCGCTTTGGACGAAGATGTTGTGCTAGGAAGTGTGCAGCCATATGATTTGCGCCTGTTCCTGAGACTGTTTGGATAGAAGCGATGCTCTTGTCTAGATTCTTGGCCAAATCGGAGCCAAAGGTAAGGGACTGAGCTAGATTGATAAGGGCTGGCGAGCCTGCGATGCCTAAGTATTCATGGTTCTGGTCCTGGGCGAGGCGTGCTTTGGCCTGAAATGGAGAAGGGTAGCTTAGTTAAAACCAGGAACTATTCAGACATAAGTGCTACCAACCTCTTCCACACTTGGGAGTACCCAAGGTTGGCCATTCTCGTCGCGGTATGCCCCTGCTATTAGGGACACCTTGTTTGGGTGCTGGTCGGCATCATACTCTGCCATCAGCCCAAAGGCTGTATCTGCCGGCGCAATAGGTAGGCCAAGGTACTGTTCGGTCATGCTTGGAATCTTGTGAGGCTGATGTTTCCTGTGTCGCTGGTGAATAGTAAACACTAGTAAACGATGAAGAGGATGATTGAGATATAAAGAAGAAAGTGAACTGCTCGATAATATGCTAATATGTCAACTCAATGATCTTCGGCATTATACTCTCGGTCCGGTAACAAGTTCACCGGTCTCCCAGGCCAGCTGCTAATGCTGGTGGTCGGCCCAAGGTATTCTTCCCGATGGTTCGGAACCCTCTGTGCCGATTGTACTTGACATCGCCGAACTCACCTCTACAGACACCGTATACTAATAGAGCCGAAAATATTCCTCACGATGAAACATATTACGTCTGCTCTGCCTGAACTCAAAGCACACAGTTTCAGTGCTACAGGCACGACAGGGCGGGCGGGGAACTTTAGTACAGCCTAGCTGAGATGGTTTCGGGACATTGAGATGGATCTAGAATCCATGATATAATGAGATTGCTGACCGGGATTGCTTGAGTTCAGGCAGTGGTCAACCCGCCATAGCTGATTTAATCCTAAGTACTTACAGCTACTTGCCGCTTCCCTGAGTGTTTGAGCCAATCTTAGCGACGTAGTATGCTACACTTGAAAGCTTGTTTCCCGGTACTATGCTGGCTATACTTATATTTATTAAAAATGCTCTACTACTCCGGTACTAAACTCAGATGCTCGTAATTTTGTTAATACAAATGGTCTCGAGTAGTTGAAGGTGAAAAAGAACCTTTTTTTTTTTTTTAATCGAAAATAACAGCAATTAATAGCATTACATGAGGCATCAGTTGATTGTTTCCTCGAACTGCCGACCACAGTTTTGCGGTGATGATAGCCTTATAACGAGACGTTGGTGCTTATAATACTTCATTTAAAGACCAACCAAGTTTCTCTATGGCGTGAGCAGGATTATATATGATGCGCTGGTCGATCCCCAGGACACGGGACAAGATGCCACGTAATCCAAAACCAGCCTGGACAGAGGGTGTAGATTCAGCGATACTGGCCCAATACTCCCACTGGTATAATTCTTACTGACATATAAGATTAAATGGAAAGTTAAGAAAGAGACTCCATACCTTTTTTCCCCATCAACAGACGAGGTTGCCTACTTGAGTATAGCGGTAAGTAACTCAGTCAGTCAGTCAGTGACCTGTATGGGGGCTAGTCCCAAAGTAGTTTAAGTGCAGAATCCTCAAAGTTGCAGGCGGTGGAGATGGTCCCCTGTCCCTGGAAGACTAGTGGACTACTCCGTAAGTAGTTCAATCGACCTTGCTCGCCTCCACCTGGTCTGCTCTCTTGAGCGCGTTCTAGATCATCCATGATTCTATCCTCATCTGAACAAGTCCTCCTCTACCCTACTCGGTATTCGAGTGACCCCTCTCCCTTCTCCCATCCCGACTGAATCCTCGACCGTTCGAATCCATCGCTGGTTGCTGGTTCAACCTCTCCCGTTCCGCGCGGTAGACGCATCTCCTCCCTTCCTTTCCTCCGACCGACCGGACGTCTCTTGGGCGCCACAATGTCGTCCTCCTCCGACAATGGCCTCCTATCCCCACCGCCAGTCCATAATATTCCTCTGAATGACCTGGAATCCAATCATTCTCGCCGTTTCCCCGCTCCCAGTTGGTCCGATTTGACCGACCCCTCGGCTCTCGCTCCTCATGTCAAGCACCACATGGATAACGGCATCGACCGTCTGGACGACTTCTTCACCAAAGTCGCCATCTTCATAACCCCGAGTTACTTGCAACATCATGTTGGCGGCAAGTCGCAGCCCCCGTCTAGACAACATGCGATCGCTGCGTTGGATGGTCTGCGCGGCTGGGCCTGCCTGCTAGTCTTCAACTTCCACTTTCTCTTCACTTATACCTGGAAAGTTGCCGTGGGCTGGGGATTTAACAATGAGAATTTCAGCGTGCTGCAGCTCCCTATCATACACATGCTGGTCTCTGGCCATATCATGGTGGCTATCTTCTTCGTCATATCCGGTTATGTGCTCTCCTACAAGCCACTGAAGTTGATCCGCAGTCGCTCTTGGGAACAGACCTTCACTACCCTAGCCTCATCTACCTTTCGTCGCGCACTCCGCCTCTACATCCCATCTATCGTTGGCATCTTATTGGTCTTTATCGCGGTCCGGTTGGGCGTGTACAACTACTCACATAAAGTCCTCGTAGAGGGCCACACCATCCTCGGCACGAACGAACAGCATCCCCCGATCATGCGGTCTTTCTACAAGCAGTACTGGGACTGGTACCTGGCAGTCGTTCATCTGATGGATCCTTTCAACTGGGCGCTTTACTACAACTACTACAACCCGCATCTGTGGACCATCCCCGTTGAGTTCCGCAGCTCTATCGTGCTCTTCCTCACCCTTCTGGGCACTTCTCGTCTAACAACTGCCGTCCGTATCTCGCTCGTTAGCGGCCTGGTCTGGTTCTGTATGCGCTGGGGCCGTTGGGATATCGTGCTCTTCCTATTTGGCATGCTCATGGCGGAGGCGGATCTCATAAATGGCACCTGGGAGCGACCTGCGAATGAGAGCGAGTCGAAGCCAAGAACTGGGCATCGTCACTTCCTTCCCAAGCAGCAAAATGCCCTTAGACAACTTCTTCCCTTCCGTCTCTCTACCCGCAATCTTTGGATCGGCCTTTTCGTACTCGGTCTGTACTTGGGTTCAGCCCCGAACACTGGCTACAAGTGGACTCCCTTCTACCGTTGGACCTGGGAGATTACTCCCAGAACCTACCCGGAGCCGCATCGGTTTCCCCAGACCCTGGGCGCTGTGCTCATTGTGTTCAGCATCAACCACTCCAAGGATCTCCAGAAACTCTTCACCCACCCTCTTTCACAGTATTTGGGCAAGATTTCATTTGCCTTCTACATCGTCCACGGACCCATTCTCCACTCGCTGGGCTACTCTCTCATGCCTAACATCTGGGCCGTCGTCGGTAAGGAGACCAACTTCCAGTACTGCCTGGGTTTCTTGATTGGCTGGCTCATCTGCCTTCCTATCTCCCTTTGGGCTGGTGATGTCTTCTGGCGTGCGGTGGATATTCCTAGCGTGAAGTTCGCCCGTTGGCTGGAAGACAAGCTTATCGTGAAGACGACCAAGCCAGAAATCCCGGGCACTAACTCACATCGGCAGTAGCCGAGTGCATTCAGACGAGGTGTTTGGT